TGTTGATGAACTAGTCTATACTTTTTCACCCCAACCATAAAACAAGTTTGATTTTGTGCCAGTAGAGGCACATATGCCAGAGTGTTCATTGTGTAATACTACTTGAATTAAACAGCAGGTCTATTTTCTGCCTTTGTGTTTATTTTCCCCCAAGTAATTGAATATCAGTGAGGACAGATACAGCTTCTCCCCCGCCCATCCCCAACCATGCACCGTAAAGAACTGAATAAATAAATAAATCTTGTCTGAATATTCACATCTGCAATTAAATCTTGCAGGGCATATCTGTATCATTCTCCATACTCAGTTCCCTCAGTTACTATGTCACATCATCTATTAACTTACAACTCCTCACTCACTCTTCATGTGAGAACAGCAGTGAATTATCAGTTCTTGAATACAATGAATGTTAAATCATATGGACTAATGGACCTTATTCCTAATGTCTGAAGCTTTGTACCTAGCCCTCAAACAATGAAACTATACTTAGGTGAATAAGAAATAAAAGATGTATTGCACTAGCACTTGTTTGAGTAACGGTTATGTCAGAAATTTTAGAGACTCATGATTATTGATTCATTAAAAGGATACTTAACATCTAATCATCAGCAGCCGACAGTGCCTGACATACATACATACATACATATATATATATATATACAAAAACATCACTGAATGCATGGAATCTGTAAAGAATTTTCAAGTCCTGGTTCAATAACAATTTATGAATAATATTCTTTTGAGAGTTTATTGAGGGGGAGATACTATGGGAATGAATGGAAAAAAAAGAAAAGATGTTTTCTCTCTCCTTACTGATGCCTCTGGGGGGAAGGCTCTTTTCTGGTCTGGTTTACTGAACCACCACCTACAAAGAGCAGCACAACCTACTACACTGAGCGGGAGTAGAGGTGGAGACCTCTGGTGTTCTTCATGTCAAGAACCTGCACCTACCTGGTGGTTGTCACTGTGCTGGAAAGCCATCTCCAGGACACTGTTCCTGCTGCATCAGATAAACCCCAACGGATATATTTTCTCATTGATTTCTAGTTGAAGTAATGAAGTATTTCTCAGGAAGATTATAAAATTGCACTGAATTCTCACATCAGTGACATGAAGACATCTACATTAATGAGATACTGTGGGGAAGGGTGAACAGAAAGGTTGCCTATGAACATCATCACCTAGGGGAAATAATTTTCAAGTAAGTTGATATTTATAGTGATTAAGCAATTGTCTAAGGTTTTGATCTTTCAAAGAGGCGTGAACATAAACTTTATATCTGCAGCTTGTCACACCAAAGACAGTTATTTCACTGCAAGTGACACTGCTTTTATGTTAACAGTCATCATACCTAAAGTTAGACTGGGATTCTTTTTTTTAAGCTTGGATGTGCAGATTCCTTCTTCTCCCATAAAAACCCCAGATTTGATATGTATTTGAGCTGACAGAGCTAAGCCAGTTGTCTGAGAATGTTGTACAGTGAAATCGTTTTTCACTCTTGACATTTCAGTTGATTAACACAGTGCGTTCCCCAACCAGCTGACCAGCTGAGGGTTGAGAAAAGTGAAATGTTTAAAGTACTCTTTGTCTTACTCCTTGTCTTTGTATGATGTGAAGAAAACACAAATTTTAGCCCCCATCCCTTGGTGGAGACCAAAGGAAACATCCTGTCAATTATATTTGCACTCTTCCCATTACAGAAAAAAGCATCCCTGGTGAATGACTTGTTTTCAAATTAAAGAAAGGAGTAAGCATAGAAATTGCAAAAGAGCTACTACATTGCAGAGACCTCTCTGCAGCATGAGACGTTGAAAAAAAAGCACAAAAGCCATTTAAGAGACAAGGAGCTAACTCTTTACTAAAGACACAGCTCACAGTATATTGCTCCCATTCTTTTTATTCACTTCACTAAATTTATCATTATGACCCATAATACAGTTACCAGCAAAGGTAACTGTAAAGACATCCTGGGCTTCGGTTGGTACTCATCTCGATTGCACACTCAAGCCAAGGTCTGTAAAAACATGTCTGCTCTCTTGCCGTACACACAGAATTTGCTGGGGTTTAGCTGCTTGGCTTCTGCACGGAGACCACCTAGTCAAGAGGGACATTATGGGATCATGCCCCTATTTCAGCTGTTTGGACACATCTCTGCAAAGAAGAATAAAAGGCTATATTTCACAGCTATGATATCATTCTCATGAGCTATATTTCAGCATGAGCCACTATAAAACCTCTCCCATGACATCAGAGCTGTGAAATATAGCTGACTTCAAGTGCAGAAAATTCCCCTGTAGGAATAATTGTTTCCTGGCAATTGGCATTTGAAGGACTGATCCTTTAAGAGGCTGGCACAAATCCTGTCAGGCAGTTCTGCTCCAGGCAGCACTGCTCAGGAAACATTAAGTATAGGAGCAGAGGTACACAAGCTCACTGTGGGATTTGGCTGTGGGGGCAGTGAGATGAGCCCTGGTGGAGCCTGTGGAGTGATGATTTTCACTCCCTTATTGCCATGCAAACTTCACTAATAGCAAAATAATATGTTTGCTTATACGCTGTACTCCCTATCTCAGACCCTTCCTCCCCAGCAAGGTGAGCCATATGCACACAGCCAGAAATTAATTCTCCTGTCTTTTCCCATCTTCACTCCAAGCTAGCTTCACAACAGGTATGCAGTTAAAGGGCAGCTTGCCAGGGCTGCAGCTGCCCACGGAACTCATTAACTCACCCAGGCAGCCAGCAGCCTCTCTGCAGAGCAGATGGGCAATAGTGTGGGAGTCAGAAGTACCGTGTGCAACATCATTTCCCCTTTTGTGTCTTACCAGAGTGCAGAGACTCAGAGCTGAGGGGAACAAGGAGGGATGTTGGCAGAGCCTTAAATGAGAGCCTGACCAAGTCAGAAGGGCATAGGAAGAAGATAACAGGTGCCATAAAAACAGGAAGAAAGCTGAAGCTACCTCAGCTCACTCTTGCCTGGTGCCTGATTCTGCCAAACACTTCAAGTCTACTCACATTTTGCTCTTTCTGTTCCTCTCACAAATTTCCCCTTTCCTGTGAAGGCCACCTTGCTGTGGGCAGTGGATCTGTTCTTACTGTGACTCCTGAATGCGTGCATGTTCAGATGGGTGTAAACCCATGGGTCTGAGCCAGCCTCACAATGCTCAGATGTTTACGTAGGCACATCTCCCAAGCCCTGCAGGATGGAAGTGTCTTTGCCTACAGAAGGTTTACTGATCTTAATGAGATCTAACTGGGAACTTTCCCTTTTCTCCAGAGGAAACAACATCATTTCAGAATTAATTGTATCTTTTCCACCCGTCCTCTTAATGTTAAAAAACTGATTTCTCCTCACCCAGAAGCTACCTTCTTGTAGTATTTTACCTAGTGAAGCTGTAAAACGATATAGTTTGAACAGCCCTTTTCCATTACCTACCATCCATCTAAAAGTTAAGTGGTATTTTTTTTTAATGGAAAATGATTTACTAAGAGGAACTACAAGAGACTTGAGGTTATTTTATACAATGTATTACTAAGAACAGTGACAACCAGCAGAATGGCTAAAAGGAGGCATTGGAAATGTTCTAACTGCATGAATGTACCTCAAAGGTTAAATTCTGCCTGATTTACACCTTGACAAACCCAACATAAATTACAGGGGGAAAAATGATCTTTGATGTACAATATGATCCAAATAGTGATGCATGAAATGTCTAGAAAATAAAATAAAATCTCTTTTGGATTTAGTATAAAGTCAGATTACCATTCAACAATTTTATTTACAAACACTGAGAGCTGCCTTGTTGAATATTGAGCTGGTTCAGAATGATTTATAGCTTCTGATAAGAATACTGAAAAAAATAACTTCTCCAAAGAGCATCTGTGCAAAACAAAATGAAAATCAAGCAAATAAACTTTAAGAGTGGATCTGTTTGAACTAAAAAAAAAAAAAAAAAAAAAAAAAAGTTTATGAAAAATATTCCTATATATAGGAATATATATGTGGAATTTTTTCTGTCAACTAATTCTAATTTCTTCAGACAACAAATTGTTCCAAAGCTGTTCATTAGGCATTTGGTTCCTCATATCATTTCTTCTTACTTAATAAAAGCTTTCAACTTCTTTAAAACAGATGAACTGTCAACACCAAGCTATAGTGTTGAATGCATGATATTCTCCATGATGAAAGTCGTGCAATCTTCAGTGATATAGGGATCATTTTCATAATTATTTTGAAGGTGTACAGATATTTAATATTAAAATAGGAAGCAGTAGCTAGTAGGAGCCCAGAGGCAGAGACTAACTAGATGACTGCTATACTTTTTAATTAATAATAAAAATATTTACATATATAACTATTCATTAAAGTTTCAAAACTCAACACATAACTCAAGCAACAGGTACCAAAGAGAACAAAGACTTCCACTTAACTTCACAGTGTCAAAGAGGTCCAGAGCGTGGGAGATATTGGCAAATACATACATCTACTTCACTAGCCTGTTTACTTGACCCTTCCTAAATGAAGTTAAGTACAAATTCCTAACATTTGAAGGTAAAATCCTGGAAATTTCAGGCTCTTCAGCCCATAACTACAGCAATTGAATGTCCTTGAGATGACAGTATGCACTCTTGCTAATCCTTCTTGAACGTAATAAAGTAACCACATCAAGATCCCCAGTCAGAAATTAATCAGCTATATAGCAAAGCCCAGGCTGTAAAAATGTAAATACTTTTTTTTTGCTTTAGTTCATGAATGAAAGTAAATGGAGGTGAAGGAAGAAAGACACCACCAACATCAAAACACATCAGGACTACCTCCTTCTACTCAACATACATTCACTTCAATTATTTAAAGGACTGCTTGCAATGTTTTGAACCAGGAACAGCTTTTCAACAATCTCTTCTAATTTTTGATTGCTCTTTTAATTTTTGGATTTACTTGCTGTAATGATGATTGTTAATACTTTTGAAAATACTTACAACATTACTACTTTTCTTTTCAGAGATTCTCTGAGACTGCAAAGACTACTTAAAGAACGAAGACGGCATGAGATTGGATTTGATGCACTAAAATAGGTTAGCTTGAGGACAAGAAAAACAGTTGCTATTTAGATCTTCTCTTGTTGCCGTGATGAGAACTTACCATTGCTTCTGGTTGCTGTTTTGGGCTGGCCAGCCCCACCAAAGTTTCTTAACTTTGCTGTCCAAAAGGACTAGTGGCTTTCCAGAAAAGGAAAAGGTTTTGGTATTGTCTGGAAACAGCAGGAGAGACCTCAGTCGTTCCAAACGGAGTTGGATGTGGAATCAGTTCTTTTTATTGGAGGAATATACAGGAACTGACTATCAATATGTTGGCAAGGTAAGATTCTTTTAGATATGTTTTGATTTTAGAAGAGCTAGATAGCCAGCAAAAGCAAGTAGGTAAGAATGATGCCTGCTACAGTTCTCAGTTCTCATTTCTGGCTGCCCTGCTTCAGCTGAGGAGTAATTCAGTAGAAAGGTTAGTATATTTAAGCTTCAAATTGTAATCAACTATGAGGAGTTCCTAGTTTAATTTGCAAGTCCCATGGTCAATCATGCCCAAATCTTCAAAAGCTTCTGGTTTTTAAAATTATTTAATGGATATGATGCAGCTCAATTATAGGATAGTCTAGCTCACTTTTTATCTTTAAAATGTGTTTTCCTTCACATTTTTTTAACTATATAGTGTCAAACTATATATACTTGAAGAGGGTTTATTCCAAGATACCTAGAATTCACAGTGCCTATACTTTTGTGAGGATTCTCCCTATTACACAGCAGGCAACCATTTCATTGCTTATTCTCCACTGCACATACCAGTGCTGCAGCCATTTTATGAAGAGGTTTTGTGGTGCCATGGAAGACTTTGTGACATGACCATGATACACAAGCCATGCTATTACAAAGAGTTGAAGAACACTGTGCTTATGTGCTAGGTAACAATCAGGTTAAAAGTACTAAGCTCAAAGCATGCCAACAGCTAGAAAAGGGTCTTTAGAAAATAAAAATTACATCTGAATTCTGAGAATATCCACATCCCTGAGTGGCAGGCCCCTGTGTAGGTAACAATTCCTCAGGTAAACTATAGAGCTAATGCATTTGTGGTTTATTTAGAGGGAGTCTACACTGCCCAAGGTGTCATAATCTATAAGAGTCTCTCTTGCAGAATGCAGAAATTATGCTATTGATGATGACATTCAAAGTAAAAACAATATAGCTTAGTTTTCTAAACTCAAATAGGATTGTGTCTGATCTAGCTTGATCTTTCAGGCCTCACAGCAGAGGCTGCAGATCACAGTGGTTTGACATTTTATCTCCCTCTACAAGCTTCTGAGCATTCCCATGAGAGATGGTGGCTGCTTTTCTTGCCTGCCAATCAGCTGTCACTCAAAGTTGGATGTGACACTCCTTTCCTACTAAATGGCTGCAAGGCATGATTCAAATGAAGAGCTACTCAGCTGGTATAATACTCATAGAGCTCCAACCAAGATAATCAGCATTCATGAAGAGTACCACTGAACCCAATCTACAGGAAAATGCCAAAGGCAGAGAGTCCTCAGAGAGAAGCAGAAGGAAAGATAAGAGGGTAAGAAAAAAAGCCAGAGAAGAGTAAGAGAGGAGAACTAGAAAGACAGAGGTGGGTGGAGAGGAAACTTTACAAAGAGGAATCAAGATCGAGGGAGGGAAACAAATCAAATAGGGGTAGAGAATAGAATTCAGGAAAATAAGGTTACCTTAAGAGAACACAGTAAAAACAGAAGATGAGAGAGTAAAGGAAAACCAAACAAAAAAAGATCCAAACAAATCAAACAGACAAGAAGTACGGAGCCAAGGAAAAAGAAAGAACAGAAATTGAAAGACGGCAGTTCTCCACACACACTCTTGTTTTACAGAATACTTGTGGGGGTCGAGGTAGGGAGCTCTTTCAGCAGCCTGTCATTTTCACTGCAAATTCTGACATTAAACCTTCTCAGTCCCAAGTCTCCCATTCTCCACACTGCAGAATTCAAGTAGAAGCTATTGACTACAGAGGGATTGTTAAGGGAGCAAATACTCCTTCAGGATGTGTTTGCAGTGAGACAGCTAAAAATGATCTAGTTGGACCAAAAAAAAACCAAGAAAGTTTGAAGTGGAGTCACAGAAAGAAAAAAAAAAAAAAAAAAAGTGGTTGTTATTTTTAAGTTATTCTCCTGTTTATTTGTACTTTAATGCATTTACTATTACAAAGCATAGAAGTGACACATAATGTATAAATGTCATTGATTCTGTGTCCCTGGGCTGTTCACAAGTGGCCTTTCACACGTCTTTCAAATGCCAGAACTGCTCACACCCTTGTAATTTAACAATTAGCCAAAAGGCATGGAACAGCAGCCATTTATTATTAGAGAAAGTTGAATATTGGTGTGAGGATAAGCGATAGAAACAGCTGAATGTCTCCAAATTGAGGTAACCAGGCAATTTAGCTGAGCAATTAAACTTGATTGGAATGGGCAAATGAGGATAATGAACATGTTTATGAAGCATATTTTGTCTCAGAGGACAGAATGTTAACCTTAAATATGAACTGAAAATGATAAGAGATTTTGGTTATCTTCTTCTTATTCCCTTATACCATAAGGAAACATGCATAGGAAATTCTTTGAAAACAATAGCGATATATGCATGTAAAGGGGAATTGTGCTTTCTTTTTACTGCATAGGCAGTCATATCTAGCTTTTTGCTTTTTGTGTTCAATAGTTAAAGCTGGTGGGCATTAACATCAGAACATAAAAAAAAATCTTTTAAACAAAGAAATCTTTTAGTCTGCTTTTACTTATGCCTTTTCTGTTAATTGTTAACGTGTTTAATTCAAACACCTGTATGAAAAGATTAGACATCACAACTTGGCTGTAAAATATTCTAACAGCATTGTTTTTATAACTGCCCATATTAAAGTCATAAAAACCTGTAACTGTTTGTGCTACAGAAACCACATTTATATCATAATAGTTTTGGAGAGAAGAAGAGGAAAAGTGAAGAGGAACATATTCAGGTTTGAGATAATAAAAAAGGTAATCTCTCTGAAGATATCAAGCAGCAGTAAAGCTCAGGGCAGTACTGAAGGCAACACTGAAGCATCATGAGTCATGGGCCAGAGCACTACAATGCTATATGCTCTGTGTATTTTATCTCCAGCAAACCCAAATGCTTCCGTCCTTTAGGAGATAATTGTCTAAGCACACCTGAGCACATATAAAACAAAGTAGTCCTTTTCTGGTAGCCATAGGTACAATGAACTATTAGAAACAGGTCCTCCAGTTTTGTTTACTACAGATTTTACTATCGACTCAAATATGCTGCTGTATCTTAGACAAGAATATGCATCTGCCACAAATCTCCTAGTGTTATCAACACAAGTTGATTGTATGCTGTGGCACTGACATCAGATCCACCATTTTATCATCCAGTTCTATTCCTAAGTTTCATTCCTATATATTCACAAAATAAATCCTTTGAAAAAGAATAGGAATACATGCCCTCTAGTCTTGGTTAGGCTCAGTAATATAAGGAACTGGTATAAAAGTTCTAGACTGGAATTATTCATTGCACTGCTGAATAACTTGTGAGTTACAGCTACTCATTGAAGTGTGATTGATGGGCACAGTGACATTTTAACCTGAAGATATCTTTTCTTCTGGTTCAGAAATTACAACACTTGCCAGAGACTCAATCCAAAAATAAAATAAAAGGATGATACATGAGTATCAAAGTGGAGAAGTTCCCATTTCTACAATCCAGAAAAATCTGCAACATCTGAATTAGGTTTTTAAAAATTATCTACTTGTACCAACAGCTATTTAGTAAAATTTTAAGGAGAGGCATTCACCCCAGCCCTAACTCACAGGTAAAAGATAAAGTGGTACTGTAGTTGTATATAGAAATATATGCTGTATTCCTCTGAGGTTTCAGATATTTCTGAGCAACAGAGTGAAAAAAAGCTGTCGTTACAATACTAGACTCAAAGGTACAGTAATCATTTGTATGCATCTGATGTCTTTACACAGCTATCCCATTGGCTGCATGAAACCCATGTACTGGCATCCATCACTGAGTGGTCTTGTCAGAGCACAAACCTACAAGTCATTGTTATATAAAGGGATAGGATGCCTCTTTCATTTAGACTAAAGAAAGTTCTGAACAAGACTTAAATCTTACTCATTAACCTGGAAACAGCTTCTGGCAGCCTGCAGTAAAAAGGAGCAACTTGCTTTCCTGATAACAACAGGCAGAATGGTTTTGTCTCACTGTCTGTCTGACAGTGAAAGGAAACTTCCAGACATACTTTTCATTTTTTTCTGTGTCTTATTGATGCTCAAATAATTCAAGCTGTATGGTTGCCTGGAAGCTATCTGATGTTTCTACCTGTACCACCCATCATAAACAATCATCCTCTGCTGACAACTCAATTTTTCAAGGAAGATAAAAGTCAAAGTTCTGCTGCTATGTGTCTTGGCAAAGCAGAAAGGATACTGCACCTAGGAAAAAGTAGAATCCTTCTCCTTGGTATTAAAAACCAAACAAACAAAAAAAAACCCACAGTGAAAGATTCCTTACCCTCTTTAAGGAGTGTTCAGGTACCATCAATCCTGCTTTTAGGGAGGACGTGATAAACTGAATGGTATTGCAGTGTGTTTCCAGTAATATTTTGCTTCCTTTTCCCTGACTTTACTTACAGCTACAACTGTTTTGAAGGCAAGCATCACCAAATCAAAAAGAGAATATCTCCAAACCATGGCAAGTAGTAGGACTAAGTCACATTGTGAGAGAGAAATGTACAGTTGTGACATGAGGGGCTATTTAAAGAATGAAAATTACTGTCCTGTAATACAGTCCACACATTTTCAACATCTTGATCAGCAATGGGTCACATACTCCAATGTGAAAAATTTATGTCATCTTAATTGGACAATTAGCAAGAAAAACTTCCCCTTTCACTCAGATCTTTAATATGCTAGTACTCTGTACTTATCTCCAAAACTTTTGTTTTTCAAAAAAGCCAAGATGTGTAAAGGCAAACTAAAATGACTGTGAGCATCTGGGCTTTTAGCATTCCTTATACAATTCTACTGGCAAATATTGTTTTTCTTTACCTTGTAGCTAATGCTCTGATAGCCTCATGATGCCTTCAGTTTCCTATTCCAAACGAAGTGACCAGGTCATGAAGCCTAAAATTAAATTACATTTAAGTTACATTTGGGACTTCTTCAATGAGTCTACTCAAAACAGCTTTCAATTTCTTTTGACATTCAGAATATCATTTCTTTAGGAACAGATTCTACTTTCTGATTTTCCAAGAGA